TTTAGGTAACGTATTAAGCTTTTAAGTTTTTATTTTCAGTTGTTCTCAAGAGTTCCAGACTAGTGGTAATTTTTCTCAGAGTAAGAAGTTAGTTTAGAATGTTTTTTAATCATCTAGGTTACTGATTGATCAATGGATGTACACTGTGCCTGTATGTGTTAAGGAGCCATCCACACTCACTGGTAGAAATAGTTTATTCTTCTCCACTAGTAATGACCTGCCCATTAAAGATGTAAATAAATAGACAAACCCAAGAATGCATTGCTCTTTTTTTTTTTAACATTTTCTAAAAACATTTTGGTTAAGTATAACATATACAAGAGTTAGATACACAAATCCTAAGTAAACACGTTAGATTTTCACATAGCAAACACAAAGATCTGCCATCAAGAACTAAAATATTACCTGCACACCAGAGGCTCACATAGTTTCCTCTTAAAAATATATCCTTTATAGTTAAGATATTTTCTCTAAGCCATCAACACTGGAAATACTTGAAAGGAGCTATTATGAATTTTTTTGAAAGGAGAGTGAACATATGATTGTTTCTATTAATTTATATTAATAGCAATTAGCACAATAACTGTTAATAACACAGTAAATGCTGCTTAACAATTGCTTCTTGCATTTGTTGAGTTTTTAGACTTAACATTGTTTGGGATTAATTTTTTGATGTTCCCATATTTGAAAAATGAGATTAAAAATGTTTTGGGGAAAAGCTTCCATTTGACATTTTTTTTTAAAGATTTTATTTATTTGACAGAGAGAGAGAGAGAGAGACAGCGAGAGAGGGAACACAAGCAGGGGGAGTGGGAGAGGGAGAAGCAGGCTTCCCGCTGAGCAGGGAGCCCGATGTGGGCTCGATCCCAGGACCCTGGGATCATGACCTGAGCCGAAGGCAGACGCTTAATGACTGAGCAACCTAGGCGCCCCTTATTTGACATTTTTAAGAGATACTTAGTAAAATAAAGTAGTTAAAAATTTGGGTTACTTAAAAATATTGTACAGCATTATTATTTTATACATAAAGGAATGGAGGACCACACTTACGATATTTTCTTTGTCATGTCTATAAATTTTCTTCCAATTGCATTCCCTGGGTATTTTTTGTGGTTTGTAAAATTATTAATATAGATAAGCCATCCATTCCCTTCACTAAGTGTGCACTATTAGTAAAATTTTATGTGTTCTGTCAGCAATTTGATGTGATAAAGCAATGGTTTTTCTGTAGTTCACACAGCACCAGGGCTCTGCAAAGCATCTCTGGGGGTTCTTTGATGTCTAGACAGTTTAAATTATGCCTGCTCCCCTGCCTCCAAATTCCACCCCTGTTCTGCTTCAGGGGTTGTGGGAAATGAAAACAAACCAGAAGGGTTCCACAACCCTACAGTCTAGGGAGAAAAACAAACAAGTAGAATAAGCTGTATATCTACCCTGGCAGGTGTATAGGAAAGGGCCCAATTACGGAGAATGGTAAAAAGAAAAGAATTAGGGACAAATACTGTCTTTCTTGTTTATTTCTAATTATATTCCTGATATAGAAATACATGTGCATTGCAGACAAAATGAAAACATGGTAGAGGCATTAGGGAAGGAAGTACGAGTTGCCTTTTACCCCAGCTCCCCGGTTTTTCCTCCCCATTGGCAGCCAAATCTACAAGATTGGTGTGTTTCTTGTATATTTTCCTGTTTATTGAAATGATAAGATGCAGAATTGCAGTCTAAGTTGGAAAACTAACTTTCTTTTCTTCCTTTTTTCTTGGTTTTCCTTTTAAAATTTGGGACACCATGATTCTTCCAACTCATCTTTTTAGAAAGTAAGTAACTTTTGAAAGTTCAGAGTTTTTTTGTTGTTGTTGTTAAAATGTTGATGCTTTATTATTTCAGGTATACATTTATTACATACACATATTTTATTACAGAATTTTTAACTTTTAAATTCCAGTTGAGGTAATTAATTACCCTTGCCTTAACTGTGAATGAAATGTTTTTAATTCATTAAAAATATGAATTGCTACATAGAAGGTGTTGATGCTAAGAATACACTTTTCACATATATTTGCCTCACCTTCTTTCATACGCACAGTAAGTCATTGTAATATATATTCATATATAAACATATTTAAATATGTACAAATATAAGTATATTTTCCTTAAAATGGACCAAGTCATGCTTTCTAGGTTTTTTCGAATATGAAAATAATAAAAATACATAAATAAGACTTTTATTTATTACTGTTCAATAGCAGTTCATTAAGACATCCATTTCTTCAGGAAAAGCAATCCAAATTTTCTAGACTGTATGGGGTTGTTGAGAATAGCAATAAGTAAATGGTATGAAAAACTTTTAAAAAATTCATTTTCCTATGTGTATTCTGCATTGGATGAAACAGTTACCCTTTATTAAGTATTTAACTCTATTGATGTTAGTGTTTTATTGTTTTTAAATAAAATGGACCATATGATTAGTTGGTTTTTTTTCTGTTAAGAAATGCAGGTGATATGCTTACAACTAAGTGACTAATTAGCCAGTGATTTGGGGCGTAAAATTTGCAGTTCGTTGCAAAATATTTTCTAATTCTTCTAAAATGCAAATGTTGTTTAGTTTTGAAATAAAACAGATTTCATATGTTTGTTTTGGGAAAGATTTGGGAGAATTATAGTGATTATTGAGACTTGGGATAACTGTCATGTGATTGTGAAATACATATTTTTAAATATTTCCGTAGTAAATCTTGAGTTTATGGAATTAATAAACAGTATAATTTAATAATATATTCATGCTCAACAGAGCTTATTATTTATATGAAACTAGGTGCTTATCACTTATATTTGCAGCAAGCATAGCATTAAACTTCTACTTAATAGTCAATTTATCTTTTACAATTATCTTTCATTTACTGTACCTTAGAAAGAAAATTATAGTGATGCTAAATTATATTTGTTCAGCATTTTTTAGTTGTCTTGAAATCTGTATTATTCTTTTATATTCTAAATCTGTGTTAGGACTTTAGGAAAAAAGCAGGAAGGATGTGTGTGAGGTTCGATGTTAGGTGGGCAATTTTATTGTTATATTTTTGAAAGTCTACATTCTTTCATTTTTATGTATTGGATTCTATTTTACTTGTAGTGTTAACATTTTCTTGCCAAGTCCCTACAGAAAGTCTGTGTTTCTGACAGTTTCACTAAATTAAAACTCCACAAATCTGGCATAATAATTTCCCAGCTTCAAATTGTCTATGCTTTTATCTAAAGAGAAAATGACAAAAATAGGTATTTTGGAGTGCTCAACATAACATGTACAGCATTATTTATCTGGAATTTGTTCATAGATATTTCTGGGGGAGATGAATATGTTTTACTCTATAAGGTATGCCTGGCCCACTTGAAATATGAGCGGAAAATCTTTTGCGAGGAAAAATAATGAAATGAGATCTGTAAACTGGAGAAGCTTCACGGGGAAAGATATTACATAAGTACACACAGTGCAATTACCATATATACTTTAGTGTTATCACTACGTTGTTCTCTGACCACATTCATATTAGGGCACGTGCTTCCTGTCAGATCCATTGGGATCATACAGACATGTTGGCACAGAGAAGCTGCTTCCTAAAATAATAGTGTTATTATTATAATACTCATAAACCTTATGACCTTATGACCGTGATAAGTTTATATGCCATATATATATGTGCATATATGTACATATGCACATATATATATACACACATATGTGTATATATGTGTGTCTCTGTGTGTGTGTACACATATATACACTGGAGATATATATATGTATATATAATATATATGTATATCCAACTCAGCACATTTGGCTTTTTTCATTTTATTGGTGAATTTTCATAGTAGGTAAGAGATTTCCTAATTTTTGTTTTTAGAAACTCTTAATTTAGTAACATAAAATTATGTTGGGAAATTCAAACCTTAATATCCTAGAGATCCATAATCTTATCTGAGAATATTTTGGGTTAAATACTCAGAACCCCTAAGACACAAATGGGGTGGAGTAGGGCTTCTACTCAATATTGGTTCAACCAAATATTGATCTTTTAGCATATTAGGAAGTAAAATATACATGGAAGCGTAAGTAAACAAAAGTAATAATTCTGGCTATAATTCTAGTTTGCAAAAAATATTACTTTGCAAAAAAAACCCAAAAAAGTTTCTAAAGTCAACCCCAGAAAATACATAACATATACATTTCACAAACATCTTTCTAGGTATAATGAATACATTTCAATGTTTGTACAAATGTACTTTGAAATTTTTAATCGTTAGTTTAATGCCAGTTGATTTCTTTAAAAAATCTATTTTCATAATTCAGTCACTTGCATCTTTACTACAGAACATAAAGCTGGGCAGAATTCCCAAGCATTATTATTTTTTTATTGACAAATCTGAGAAAATGATGTCATTGTAGAAACTGTATCAGGTATAAACACAGATAACAGGTTTTTTATTTGGCTGTGTGAGAAATGCAATCCTGTGAGTAACTTAAACACTTGTAATTTCAAATCAGTTCTTCCCTGGTTTCTTATTATTCTTTTGTTGCTTTTCAACCTATAGGATTGGGCTGTCCTTGAACTTGGTTTATTTGATCATTCAAGTGCAACCATCAAGTAATCTGTAATATTTAAAAACTGAGGCTTCATGGTATTATTTGTAAAATAACAGCACATAAACGTTTGGGCTTTGGTTTTGTTGAAATAGAGTGTTGGTTGCTTTATGAATAAAAGCATAATTTCAGTTCAGGAGACTTTTTGCCTGAAGCCTATAAGACAGATGCATCTGATTAACTTTGGCAAAACTGGACTGGCCTGTTATTGTAATGTAGATGTTTTCGGGGTTGGGAGGATATTTTAAAAAGGCCTGTGAGAAGGTCTTTTTTTTTTTTTTTTTGAGAGAGAGACTGAGAGCACAGTTTTGCCACAGAAACTGCATCTCAGATTGCTTCATTTTTGCACACTTTTATTTTCTAGTGGAACTTCTCCATTAGCCTGTCTGAATGCAATGCTTCACACTAACACTCGAATAGGGGATGGAACATTCTTCAAAATCCCTGGAAAGTCAGGCCTCTATGCTCTCAAAGTAAGTTGGATTGTTCTGCATATTATGTCTGTTATTACTGTGTATCATGCATTTTTTCAGACATGTGAAGGTAAACAAAATTAGATTTGGGTGAAGGGTAGAAAAATGACCCCTGTGCCTTTTAAATGTTTTCAGATGTCTTAAAAATGATTTCATATTAAGAATAAACAATGACATTTTTCTTCAAGGAAAGCATATCTGTGGTTTCACTCTAACATATGGTAACGGAAAATAGTTGTGGCTTCCTTAAAATTCTTGATTCTTAAAAATTTACATGGAGGAGTGCCATGAATCATCAGCCAAGAGCTTAAGATGATCACAGTTGCTGTAAATTATTTGACTTAATGACCATCAGTTGATATACAGGCTTCACACCTGTATGCCTTTCTGTCTTTTATAAAAATAAATTTATCCATTCTTCTTGAAAAGTTGCTGATTTAAATTAATCGTTCAATTTTAAAACAGCAGTAATATCAAGGGAATTTTAAATAATGCATACTTGTTGTGTGAGAATAGAGAAATGAAATAAAAAGCTTCAGATAATGGAGTCTTAATTATTTTAGTATAATCCCATTCCCAACTAGAATGGGAAATGCTATCTAAAATACAAAATTCCAGAGGATAAAAGCTGATGATCTCCACATGGTTGTGTAACTTGGAACAAATAAAATCAATGTATTATTTCTTGTAAGTTAAAAATTTAAGTCACTGCTTTAATACATGATGGATTACATTTAAAGTTCATTAATGTCCTTTGAGAAGGCTGTTTTTAATGCTAAAAGTTATACCTGGCAAAGAAGCAGGGGTTCTTTCTCAGCTACTAAGCATTACACCCTCTTCACTGTGTGTGTTTCAGAAAATAACACAGGTTAATTAAAAAGACTTGTATTATTTCAGTTGCTATTTGTAGCTACTTGGGTATTTAATTTACTGGTAAATTCTGACTTGTGAAGCCATTTCCTAATAGAAGGAAGAGGGAAGAATTGAAATAAAAAAAAAGGAAACAATGTATATCAAAAATAAACTTTGTTTTGTATAGATTTTAAAAGGCCTAAAAAATCATCTGTGGCAATGTGCTTTTCCCAGTTTTTGTTTTTTGTTTTTAAGGAGTGATTTTACATTAAGAAATAAATCTGTTGAAACTCCAAATCACAAGTAACAGTGGTAATACTGTAGGACCCTGAGTTGCCAGTACATCTCCATTAAGTCTTCATTTTTTTAAAAAATAATATAGAAAGAGGAGTCATCATGCCCAGCTGACGGAACATTGGATTTAGGCTGTGAGTCTGAACTGGATGGCGCAGAAATGGCAGAGGCCAATGCCAGTGGAGAAGGAGATGGAGGTATGTGTGACAAATGTCAAGATACAAACCTTATTGTCTTACAAGTTATATAGAATTCCAGCAGTTCACTGATTGAATTCCAAACCATTAGAGATACAATTCCTTCTCTAAGCTTTTACCACCTACATAGACTCATCATCAAATAATTTTGATTCAAAAGATTGGCACTAAAGGAAAGTATGCATTTCTTTGCCTTTTGTTTTATTTATTTTTTTAAGAATATGGACTTTTCTGGATAATATTCTCGAGTGTTTTCAGTATGTTTCTCCTGTAAGGTGAGAGTGTTACTGGAGGTATCTAGTGGTTTTATTCTTTTGTGAGGCAGAGAATGCTAATGTTTTATCTCTGATTGTATTTCTTTTCTGTGATCACAAGTAGTTTTATGATAGCTTTTTTCCTGGGTTTGTCCTTAGTAAAGGAAGCCTGGGGTTAATATTCCTCACAATGAAACAAGGGTCAAGTAAGTTATATTCTTGTGAAACTCTTTTGAAAAGTGAGCGACCCTTTCAGAATTCTAAGGGGGCATTTTCTGCCTCTGAATTCTATCCATGTTAATTCATTTTTATCTTTCTTAGGACATTTACATTATGATTCCATTGGTGTGTATAATTTCTGTACTGCAGTTTTAACAAATCTTTGTTCCACAAACGCTGCTGGACTTTTTCCTACACTACCCACTAGTCCCACAAAGTGGACCAGGTCATGATTTGGGAGGAAGACTGTGTCATTAAAGCCTCTGTTGGTGGACCCATAGAAATCAGTAAATTATCTTTAAACAAACAAACCTTAAAGGATCCTTGCAGAAATATCGTATTTCAGTAATAGCTCAAAGCCATTCATTTTATTAACAGCCATAGGAGTCTCTTTGTACTCTGACTGGACACTCCTGCCTTTTAAGCTGGTATGCTTTCTGATAGTCCCCATGAGACTGATTTTGCTTCAGTGCCTATCTGATCTGCAGTAGACGTTGTGAATTAAGGTAGGAAACAACAGATTCTTTGTAAAAAGGGCTGAAGTTGTCTCTGTAGACTTTTTTTTTTTTAAACCAACTTTCACTGAATTTGATGTCCCTATTCTTATACCTTTTAAAAACTCAGCTCAACCGCACATCATTGTTGTGGTAGTACTGTGAACTCTGGCAGGTCCTTGTGCTTACAGATGGAGCAAGGCAGGTGCATAGCAATTTCTGGCTTTCTGGAAGGGCTGGTAAACAGGGCAAACAGTTCCTCTTTAGGAGGATGAAGGGGAATCATTAGGTCCTTCCTCTTGTTGCCCTGCCTGCTTTAGTGAGCACGTGTGTGCTCTCTCTCTCTCTCTCTCTCAACCTGTATATTGAGCTTCTACTATGTGCTGTGTGCTGTTTTCAACACTGCAGTTACAGCAGTAAAAAAACAAGAAGAGATCTCTCACGGATCTTAGGTTGGTAGAGAGACAGATAATAAGCAAAATAAATGTGTAAAATGTATAGCTTATTCAGTGCCAAAAAGTGATATGGGGCAAAATAAATGAGATAAGAGTGAGAGAGAGGAGTACATTTGAGAAAAGATCTGAAGGGAGTTAAGGGAGCAGGTATTTAAGGGGAAAGAGTTCTAGGTGTAGAAGCAGCAATTACAAAGACCTTGAAGCTGGAGAGTGCCTGGAATGTTACAGAAACATCAAGAGGCCAGTGTGGTTGAAAGGCAAAAATGAGCAAAGGAGCGGCTGGTGAGTTATGAAGTCAGAGAAGTTATGGGGCCAGATACTACAGTGCCTTGATGTTGCCTTTTGCTTTGAGCGAGATGTTCATCTCTTACAGGGTTTTGAGCTAGAGAGACAATGCTCTCACTTAGATTTTATCAGGAGCAAAGTATAGCAGGAGCACTAATTACAAAAAAATATATGTAGAGGGGGAAAAAGGACAAAAACAGAGGGACCAGTTAGAAAGCTATCACCATAATCTAGATAAGAGGTGATGGTGGTTTGAATAAAAGGAGTAGCAGTGAGTGTACTGAAAAGTGATTGGATTCTGGATATATATGAAGCTAGATCCAACAGGAGCTGCTAGAATTAACATGGTTATGAAATAAAGAAAAGAGTTGGAGATAACCCCAAATTATCAGTGTTAGGAAATAGAAGAATTAGCACTGTCTTACCTTAGATGGAAAGTCTGCAAGTGAATTAGTTTGGGGGCGGGCAGGGGGTTGTTGATCAGGAGCTCAGTTTTGGGCATATTAAATATGACATTCATTTTTAACACCATGGTGGATGTGTTAGATAATTGGACTTATCTGTCTTGAATTTATGGGAAAGACTTTGCTGGAGATACACATTTGGAAGTGGTCAGTTTATAGACAATATTTAAACAAAAGAAACTGGATGAGATTACAAAGGAACTGAAGGGAAATAAAAAAGAGAAGAAGCCCAAAGACTGAGCTCAGGGGTACTTGAATTTTAAGAGCTTGGAGAAGTTATGGAAAATAATTACAACAAATGAGACTGAGGATAAATGGTTAGGAGAGCATGTTGTCTGTTCTGGAAACCATGTGAAGAGAGTGTTTCTGGAGAGGAAGCACCTCAGATATTTCAAATACTTTCGATATATCAACTTATAATGAAGACTGAGAATAACCATTGGATTTAGCTTTGTGAGGTTGTTGATGAACTTGACAATGACAATTTCTGTCCAGTGGTGAGATCACAAGCCTGAATGGAGTGGGCTCAAGAGAATGGGAGGACAGAAATTGGAGACTCCAAATGTAGCCGATGCTTTCAAGGATTTCTGAGGTAAAGGGAAGGAGTGAAATGGGAAAATGGCTAGAAGGGAAAGTGGAATCAAAAGAAAGTTCGAGAGATAAATATGAGAATAATTTTATACTGATGCAGAAAATCCAATTGAGGAAGAGAATTTGATAATGAGGAAGTTGTCCTGTGGCCATGTGCTTGATTAGAGGAGAGGAAACAGGATCTGTTAAATGGATGAAGAGATTGGTCTTATTTAGGAGTATAGACAGGTGCTCTAAGGAAGCAGAGGGGAAAAGGCAGGGTATTTGGATAGAAATGAAGGTAGGTGAGTATACGTGGGAGAGGCTTATGGAAATGTGTTTCTTATTGCATCATTTTTCTCAGTGAAATAGGAAACAAGTTCATCAGCTCAGGATGAGGACCAGGGAGGTAATTTTGCAGATTCAGGGAGAATATATAAAATGTTTGTCTAGAGTCAGGCAGCATTAAGGATACTCTTAAGTTTGCTAATTCTGAATTTAATATGAGACCAGACAACATGGTTGTACTTTTTTCCAGTCATGTTCATGACCACTGTTACAAGTGCAGAGTAGGTACAGAGTTGGACTTGACCAGAGTTGGGATTTTGCCAGGTGTGAATGAAGAAGTGAGGGAGGGACAAAGGAGTTAAGGATGCATGAAATGGAGTACTTAGGATCAGTCTCCATGGTATTTAAGTTGATTGTGGAGGTGAGTAAGGACAGGATTACATGAGGGATGGCATGAAGGGGGAGGTCTTCTTGGGGTGGAAGGATTGTTTGATTTGGTGTTCTAGAGAAAATGAGTTAGAAGGACAGGTGATGTCAGAGGGGAATACATGAAACTGAGGTTAGGACAATATTATGTAATGTATATCTGAGATGAGAGGAAAGAAAGAAGGAGCCTAGGTTTAAGGCTGTCATGAATGGTTAGAGTGTTCACCCTCTTCAGAGTGGCCTGACTGAAGGCAACCATCAGCAGCAGCTGAAATTCAGCAGCCCTCTGTTTGCCCAGCCTAGTGTTACGGGATGGAGCTGGGACTCCCTGGAGGATATGTTGTTTTTTCTTATTTGAACAAAGACGTAAAGGCTGGTGGTGGCCCAGGTATAAAATATTAGAGAATCATCTGTGTGGATATTGAAACAGTTATGTTAGAACTAGCATCAAAAGGATGTGACATTTAGGAGATAAAATCTTCGAAACCTGTAGGGGAGTAACCCGGGAGTTGAGAGGTAAGTGCAGGAAGGAGGGATAGTTGCCACTTTGGTTTGATGGAATGAGATAGCAGGCTGGGGGCTCTAAGGAGCAGCAAGGGAAAATAGACATCACCTATCCCATTTCCAGGCCCGGTAGTACAAGATGTGTGGAAAAGAAAGGGGTTTCTACCTGAGAGGGTTCTAGGGGAAGGTAGTGATCATTGGAGAGAGCCGGGGTTTTTTGTAAATGAAGCTGCGAAAGGAGTTTTCAGAGAAAAGATGGAGGCTAATAGGAGATTTTGCTTACTGACTAATTCTGAATTTCAGAAGAGACAGTGGGAGGGTTTTAGTGGCTGGAAAGGGGTGGAGGACCAGGTGGAGCATTCCGCCAATAGCTAAAACAAAGTGGGGAAAGAAAACTCCCCTAATTTGAAATGTGAATAGGAACTTCTCAAAATAACACATACCCACACATCTCCAGCTAATGTGACCAAGACTAAATTTCCTGGTCTCTCCTTTGAAGTTACATGAGAGAAATTGCTTTGGGGAATCACTGAACGGATAGTAAATAGCTTGTTTCCTTGAGTATTCCTTGACTTGCCCACTTTTGCAGCTTATGGCAAACCACAATTGCTTCTTTTTAGGACAAGTATATTTCCTATCCATGTAAATACCATATACTTCTGTGTATAGCCCATCAAACTTGCCACACTTAGATATTGAAAAGGACTGCCTCCACTGCCAGGCCTTTGTAAGCTGTTCGCACGTAGATGGTTTAATTCTCATAATATTCCTATGAGATAAATAATCTTTCTAGGCTCTGTTAATTTTTTTTAATTTTTCTATTTTTAATTTTTTTTTTTTTTTGCCTGTGAGAAAACAAACTTAGATAAGTTAAATATCTCATCCAAGTGGCAAGCACAAAAGCCAGGCTCTAACCACCGTGATCCTCCCTTGGAATCCCAAGGAACACTGTTAGCCAGGAGTCATTGATACAGTTTTGCTTTTCCCACATTTGTGCAAATCTGTTGATTATAGACTTGAGAATTTGACAAAGAGGAACCC